TACAAACCGCCTACAGGAGTCTATGAACCCGATACCGAACCCTCCTAATGTGATCCAACACCATGTTCCTCCCGACGACTACCATCTTTTGTTTATATTTCCACTTTCTTCTCCTCAATGTATCTTCATCTTCTCTTTACTGTGCTTTTTGTTGATCTTATCTCTCTCTCTCTCTCTCTCTCTCTCTCTCTCTCTCTCTCTCTCTCTCTCTCTCTCTCTCTTGTGTAAGCTCTGACTCAGCTGAGACCAAGGGAAGCTATGCCAGAATTACCAGGTGAGGAAGTGGGAAACAACGCCAGACGGAGAGAGGAAGGAGGAGGAGGAGGGAAGAGCCTCGTTACACACACACACACACACACACACACACACACACACACACACATTAAACAAAAAACTACCTACGTACACAAACACACACACTTATGCATACATTTACACACACGCATGGACTCTGCCGGATGGATGAGAGTCAGCGAGGGACACTACACGACACAAATAACAGTGATGCTTTACTCTCCATGTTTATTGTGACATCAGCGGTGATGGTTGAAAGACGGGAATTCTCTAAAAGTTGATGTGAGTCAGTTGATAAACAAGCCAGTCAGAGAGAAGCCGTCGTGGGCGGGCTGAAGTACGGTGACATGCGGCCATGGGATCAAAAATCCTGATGTCGAAGAAAGCTCGCTGTCCCCGCCTCCAGAATCCTCGAGCACTGACGTCCACACGGGCTTCGTTAGATGTGTTTGAAGTCCTGTGTTGGAAGATCTCGCCATCCAGTGGAAGGAGGGTCGGTTCTACCATGACATCCCGGCAGATTTCCTTCAACATATTTGCTGTGAGATCCCTTACCTCGTCATGCCTCATGCATATGAAGCCCCCCTTCTTGCAGACCATGGCGTGATCGCCATCACAGGAAGAGCCACACACGCATTGGGAGGGCAAACCATCTACTGGCCAACCGTACCTTGGAGCAATGGCATCTGTAAATTCTTGTTTGTTAAGGCTGAAACCATTTGCCCTTATCGGTAACGTAGTTAACCATTTCGAGGCGCCCACCTCCTGCGCTACTACGACTACTACTACTACTACTACTACTACCACCACCACTACTACTACTGCTACCACCACCACCACCACCACCACTACCACACCACCACCACCACCACCACTACTACTGCCACAACCACTACTACCACCACTTCTACCACCACCTCCACCACCACTACCATTTCTACCACCACTACCACTACTACCACACTCGGGAACTACAACGCCTTATGACCACCACCACCACTACCTCCCCTCCCCACAGGACGCTGCAGCAGCCAACACAAACTAACAGTGACCTGGCCAGGCAGCTGCTGGTGATGTGTGGCACGTCTGCATCACCTGCCGGCGCCCTCGTCTCCTGGCCCCCTTACCACCACCCTACATACACCCAGGGGCGTCCTCACCACCACCTACACCCAGGGGCGTCCTCACCAACACCTACACCCAGGGGCGTCCTCACCAACACCTACACCCAGGAGCGTCCTCACCACCACCTACACCCAGGGCGTCCTCAACACCACCTACACCTAGGGGCGTCCCTCACCACCAGCTACACCCAGGGGCGTCCTCACCACCACCTACACCCAGGGGCGTCCTCACCACCACCTACAACCAGGGCGTCCTCACCACCAGCTACACCCAGGGCGTCTCACCACCAGCACACCCAGGGGCGTCTCACCACCACCTACACCCAGGGCGTCCTCACCACCAGCTACACCCAGGACGTCCTCACCACCAGCTACACCCAGGGGCGTCCTCACCACCAGCTACACCCAGGGGCGCCTCACCACCACCTACACCCCGTCCCCACCACCACCCACACCCAGGGCGTCCTCACCACCAGCTACACCCAGGGGCGTCTCAACACCATCTACACACCCAGGGGCGTCTCACACCACCTACAACCAGGGCGTCCTCACCACCACCTACACCCAGGGGCGTCCTCAACACCACCTACACCCAGGGGCGTCTCAACACCACATACACTCAGGAGCGTCTCAACACCACCTACACCCAGGGGCGTCCTCAACACCACCCACACCCAGGGCGTCCCTCAACACCACCCACACCCAGGAGCGTCCTCACCACCAGCTACACCCAGGGGCGTCCCACCACCACTACACCCAGGGCGTCCTCACCACCACCTACACCCAGGGGCGTCTCACCACCAGCTACACCCAGGGGCGTCCTCACCACCACCTACAACCAGGGGCGTCCTCAACACCACCTACACCCAGGGCGTCCTCACCACCAGCTACACCCAGGGCGTCCCACCACCAGCTACACCCAGGGGCGTCTCACCACCAGCTACACCCAGGGCGTCCTCACCACCACCTACACCCTTTACTCTGGAAACGACCTCAATGGTGAAGGAAATGTAAACTGCAGTGTTACAGATGTCTTGGACCAGGTTGCTAGCGCTCTCTCTCTCTCTCTCTCTCTCCAGATACACTACACTACCCACCAAATAATGACTCGCTTTTGCTTTCCTTTAAAACTCGGAATTTCATCAAGTGAACAAAACGCTCTCCACAAAGCTTAATGTAATTTTAGTTAAGAAATTGGTAAAAGAGACACAAAATGAAAGAAATAGAGAGAGAGAGAGAGAGAGAGAGAGAGAGAGAGAGAGAGAGAGAGAGACTAGTATTAATGTTGGTGGTGGTAACAGTAGTAGTAAGAGTTGCCAAAGATTGTAGTAGTAATAGTAATAGTACTAGTAGAAGGTGTGGCTATTGGGGGCCGTTAAAAAGTGGTCGAGGATTCTGGACGCGGGACAGCGAGCCTTCTTCGACATCAGGATTTTTGATCCCATGGCCGTTTGTCACCGTAACCTAGCTCTCGATGCTGCACATAGGAGGAACGAGAACGACAAGAGAAGGGCATATGGGGAGAGAATTCAAAATGTCGATCAAGGCAGCTTCACTCCGCTAGTGTTCACAACCTCTGGTGGGATGGGCCCAAGCGCAAGATGTTTCTACGCCAGACTCGCGGAGCTGATCTCCGAACAGAAGCAGCAGCCCAGAAGTTATGTCACAGCCTGGATGAGATGTCGACTGTCCTTCTCTCTCCTTCGGTCGGCTTTGCTCTGCCTCAGGGGAACGAGAGCTTCTGCCCCTACTCCGTCAACTGCTGCAGATATCGACTATGAGGCTACAGTCACCGAATGCCGCATCGATCTGCGGCTCAACTAATTTAACACAGATAGGATAGTTGCTTATGTATTAGGATATTTAATATTAAGGTAAATAAATGGTGGCGAAGGTGTGGCTATTGGGGGAGGCTGGAGGCCACGTAAAAAAAAAAAAGTAGTAGTAGTAGTAGTAGTAGTAGTAGTAGTAGAGACAATGTCAGAAATAGTAATATCAACAGAAATAGTACCATGAAGGTCGTGTGCAAGACTCTGAGGAAACTGTTTGATCACAAGCCAGCAGGAGCAAGTGTCCGCAATACTAGGGAACCATTGGACACGTGGATACTTCCTGAAGACACACAAACCATCAGCCAAGTGTCCACGACGGCAAAAGATGTTGGTACACGTGGATACTTCGTGAAGGCACACAAACCATCAGCCAAGTGTCCACGACGGCAAAGGATGTTGGTACACGTGGATACTTCGTGAAGGCACACAAACCATCAGCCAAGTGTCCACGACGGCAAAGGATGTTGGTACACGTGGATACTTCATGGAGGCACAAATCATGAAAACAAAGGGTCAGGTTAGGTTGATGGACAGGAATTCTCACGCGAGACGATCTTATCACAATGTCTACTTGTTAGAAGCTCAAAAAGGTCGAGAAATCCTATCTTGCGGCAGGAACAGCAGAAGCAGCAGCAGTAACAGGAAAGGAACAGCTGTAAACAGTAGCAACAACAAGAGTAACAGATAGCATGAGGATACAGCCAGACTTCTATTGATTGTATTGCTGGTCTCGTAAAGTCCACAGAGGTTGGTGGGGCGAATTTTGGCACGGGAGGAGGAGGGCTGAAGACTTAGTTAATTTCTGGGTGGTGGGCGTGGTGTTGGCACATTTAATATAGATCCTGGGGCGTGGCTATCACCTTTTAAGTAGCTTCTGGGCGTGTTTCACATTGTTTTGTATGTAGGTCGTGGGCGTGGTAGTGATCTAGTATGTAGGTCGTGGGCGTGGTAGTGGTCTAGTATGTAGGTCGTGGGCGTGGTAGTGGTCTAATATGTAGGTCGTGGGCGTGGTAGTGGTCTAATATGTAGGTCGTGGGCGTGGTAGTGGTCTAGTATGTAGGTCGTGGGCGTGGTAGTGGTCTAATATGTAGGTCGTGGGCGTGGTAGTGGGCTTGGTTGTAAGTTTGTGGGGGTTGTAACCTCTTACGTTTGAGTTGTGGTTATTAAGGTGTTGTATGGGTGTCCTGTGGTGGTTGTAGACGCTGCAGTTGTACATGGACGTGCTTATAAATTGGTCGTGTGTTGTGTGTATGCAGGGGGCGGGCGTGGGCGGTGCCTACTGTGGAGTGGTGAACATGAGCCGGTGGGCGAGCTGACTGTAATAGGTGTTAGAGAAGGAGTTGGTGGGCCCCACCTTGAAGCAGCACCTCCCTCACTCTCACCACCACGTCCTCCACCACCTCCAACAATCTCACACCTCCCACAGGGCATCATTCAGCCCCCGTGCCCCTTGGTGTCTCGTGGACGTAAGGTTGTGGAAGAGGGCGAGAGTTTGTGGGTAGACGGACCTTCAGGAGGTCGGAGGTATAAGGGAACACAAGCCACCCAAAATACCCCTGGTGTGAATGCTGCCCCCTTTCATCTCTCTCTGCCTCTCTTTGCATCGCTCATGGCGTTTGTAAATTACCTTAGACGCCGATGCGGAAGAAAATGGTGGAGCACGAATCAGTTTGGGCAGGATGGTGGTGGGCGGTCCGTAGCGGGCGGGCGAACGGGTGGGCACGGGGGGCGGCGTGCCAAGGAGGTGTAGCACCGGATCCACCTTGCCAGTGTTGCCCCGAAAGCCAGCGCGCGTGCACCTCCTTTCTGTCACTGCCACCGTCGCTACACTCGTTGTCGTCATCATGAGCTGGCCATCTGCATACGGCTACAAGTACACCCCCATCGGCCTCCGCCAGAGGGAGAAGAAGGATGACTCCTCGGGGACTCGCTCCATCTGCACCACCGTCCACCTGCCACAGGGCGGACACCTCCTCGACATTGAGAGGCAGTATGGCATCGACGGCTCCATGTCCAAGCGGGTGAGTGAGTCCAACACATGTAACACAGCTGGAGGGGACGGCTGCTACAGCAACACCGCCCGCCCTCAACACCTACAACGACAATATCTATTTATTTTCTATTTTTTGTCCCAACTCTCTTTAGGAACGCCATAGACGTCCCTATGGCCTTCTTTGACTAATAAAAATATTCATGTTGTAAAAGGCATGGGTTGAATTACAGTGAAGCTCACTGAACGTAACTGTCGACAGCAGCAGCTTCAACAGTGCAACAGTGAAATTAAGACGATACTGTACCATCGAATTGTGAAATACAAGAAACTCATAACGCGTTATAAGCGGTTTGTTGAAGGAATCTATAAGTTTACTTACCAACGAAATATTATGTTTGCTCTTCATAGATAACACGACAACGCTAGAAAACTGCCCTCGAGCCTTACAGTTGTGACGGGCTCGGTGTACAGTGTGAGATAAAACACCGAGAACGTGTGTGTTGTTTATCTAACCTGAACATTGTCTCCAGTACCCAGTGTGTTTCTCTACAGTCACGTGTACTATAGTAAAACTGTTGACATATCACCACTCCTCTCTTAACGCACACATTGTCACGATATACAACATACATCACAGATCTTGCCTTCCTCACTACAGAGAAGAAGTTGTTTAGATGTTACTAGAAAACAATAAATGCTGATACCATTCTTTATGACGTCATCCAGTTCCATGTTAACTGAACCCCCAAGAAAACTTTTGATTTCTTTCGTAAGAATAATTGTTTATGTAGAAGAATAACAACACACAGTTAACTTGGTGATGAAACGAACATTTTTCTTCCAAAGTTGAGTTAATGAAGTGTTCAATAGAAATGAGGTTAATGTAAGTTTTAAGGACTTGTTTAAGCTGAGGTTCGTTTTATTTTTGTATAAAGACCCAGAATGTTCTTATTCAAGGTGAGAAGATGTTGTTTAACACTTTGAATACGATTATTTAACACTTTGAATACGATTATTTAACCCTTTGATTATGACGGCTTAACCCTTGGATTACGATGACTTAACCCTTTGAGGTCGATGACTTAACCCTCCAGGTGTCATCGGGTTAACAAGATAGAACTTAGCGGGTGGAGGCGAGACGTGGGTGGTGAAGTGATAGATATGTGACACTGGCCAGAGGCAGACTGTCGGTGCACACAAGCTGGATATATATGGAATTTAATCGCTAATTTCTCTCTAAAATATCTAAATAAAATCCGGTCATAATTCAATAAATACATAAAAAGTCAATACGAATAATAAATATAATAGTATTAGATTCCATGGTAAATTCCTGTGAGGTGTCAACGGAGGCGTTCCGATCCCCTTAAAGTATTTTAATTATGAACTCGGAGTTTCATTCACACACATATAAATACAATAGCTGAATTTAATGAATTTGATGTGCCATTTGAACGTCCAGCTACACTGTGGAAAATACAAAACAGAAAATTAAAAAAATGAAGCGAATGTCGTCACAGATATCGCACGATGTAGAGTACCACGGAGGTTCTCAATGACGGGAAAATTTATGTTTAATGAAATTGGTAGACGAACGTTCCTAATTCTTTACTATTATGACGTTGAAGTAAATAAGGTATACATAATTTATTATACGGGAAAATATACGAATACCAGATGACGTATTGATGTTGTGTCTGTGATCCAACAACAATGATCTTTAAGCGGATAGGAGAGGTCCAGGATAGGAGAGGTCCAGGATAGGAGAGGTCCAGGATAGGAGAGGTCCAGGATAGGAGAGGTCCAGGATAGGAGAGGTCCAGGATAGGAGAGGTCCAGGATGGGAGAGGTCCAGGATAGGAGAGGTCCAGGGGAGAGGTCCAGGATGGAGAGGTAGGAGAGGTCCAGGGAGAGGTCCAGGAGGTCCAGGATGGAGAGGTCCAGGATAGGAGAGGTTAGGAGAGGTCCAGGATAGGAGAGGTCCAGGATAGAGAGGTCCAGGATAGGAGAGGTCCAGGATAGGAGAGGTCCCAGGATAGGAGAGGTCCAGGATAGGAGAGGTCCAGGATAGGAGAGGTTCAGGATAAGAGAGGTCCAGGATAGGAGTGGTCCAGGATAGGAGAGGTCCAGGATAGGAGAGGTCCAGGATAGGAGAGGTCCAGGATAGGAGAGGTCCAGGCTAGGAGTGGTCCAGGATAGGAGAGGTCCAGGATAGGAGAGGTTCAGGATAACAGAGGTCCAGGCTAGGAGTGGTCCAGGATAGGTGACGTTAGGGAATAAAAAAGTCGAAATTACTTAATCAATCACCAAAGGTTCTCGTCGAGGTTGGTCGTGGGGAGAGAAGTTCTGATTAACGAGATGGACGAGAGGAACACAGACAGACAGACAGACAGACAGACTTAAAGGCTGGGTATGTGATGTCTACTCGGAATCATGTGTAAAAGGTTATCAACTAACGAAGACGATAATAACAATAATAAGAGTGATAATTATAGAATTTGGAATATTAAGAATAATAACGAAAAACAAATTATGACAATAATAATAAATAATTGTGCATAATAACAATGAAAATGCTAACATATATAATGAAGATAATAAAAATAACCTTTTTAGTAGTTTATGTATTTAACTTAGTCAGATATGTAAGAAAAAATATTAACAGTCCCCAGTTCATCCAGTCTCACTATAAAACTATTTCTTAATCAGTTTTTCGTCTCCTTGTGAGTGTTCCGAGCATCTGACATCATCTGGGAAGGATTACCGAGCCTTGGCATGTGACCACAGGTTCCTATATGACAAATTTACACATTATGCAGTTAGTAAAGTCTTCGATAAAGGAATAAATATAATATATACTGACGTGATAGACATTAGACAGAGAAAAGAGATAAAGATAGAATTATAATTATCAGTTGATAGTTTTATATACGTAAATTGTTCTGTGGTGGTAGGGAAGGTCGTGATTGTGGTGAGAAGTGTTGGTGGTAGGGAAGTCGTGATTGTGGTGAGAAGTGGTGGTGGTAGGGAAGATCGTGATTGTGGTGGTGGTTGGGGAGGTCGTGATTGTGGTGAGAAGTGGTGGTGGTAGGGAAGTCGTGATTGTGGTTAGTGGTGGTGGTGGTGGTAGGGAAGGTCGTGATTGTGGTGAGAAGTGGTGGTGGTAGAGGAGGTCGTGATTGTGGTGAGAACTGGTGGTGGTAGAGGAGGTCGTGATTGTGGTGAGTAAAACTTTCTAGAGGGAAGAAAATAAACATCTGTGATTATTACGAGAATAAATGACCAAAAAAACAACAAATACGAAAGAGAAAAAATAACAAGATAGATTAAAAATAAAAATTAATAAGGTAAATAATAATAATAGTGAATGGAGGAGAAAAGACGATTGGAAGTAACTAATGGTGATGAGGGAGTGAAGGAGGAAGAGAAAGAGGGAGGGAGGAAGGAGGAAGAGAAAGAGGGAGGGAGTGAAGGAGGGAGAGAAAGAGGGAGGGAGGAAGGAGGAAGAGAAAGAGGGAGGGAGGAAGGAGGAGAGAAAGAGGGAGGGAGTGAAGGAGGGAGAGAAAGAGGAAGGAGGGAGGGAAAAGGGACATTAGATGAAAAGTAGAGTGAAATAATTAAGGATAAAGGAGAATAGGAAGAAGGATAGTAAGGGAAGAAGAGAAGGGAAGGAAGGACTAGAAGAAGGGCAGGAAATGTATGATAAGGATAAAGGAGGATAGGAAAGCAGCCAGCGATAACGAAGGAAGGAGAGAGAGAGAGGAAGATGGATGAGATGAATGAGTGTAGTGGCTAGTCGAGGATAAAGGAGGATAAGAAGGAATTAGAGGTAACGAGGGAAAGGAGGAAGGAAGGAATGAAGGAGAGGGTGGGGGCTGTAGCGAGTGCGGCAGAGAGGCTCTGAACGGGGGCTGCTATTTCTGTTTCCTCCCTCTTCTCCCTCACACCTTCCTTGCCACCCCTCCTCCTCCCTCCCTCCCTCCTTCCTTCCCTCCCCTCCCCTCTCCCCCTCTCCACTACCACCACTACTGACATTCCCACTCTACCACAGGTAATCCCCACAACACCCTCTTACTCTCACCACACAAACTAATCCTCACCTCCCTCACCACACCCCTCCTTCACCCCCTCACCACACCTCCCACCCCTCCCTCACCACACCCCTCCTTCACCTCCCTCACCACACCCCTCCTTCACCCCTCCTTCACCCCTCCCTCACCCCTCTCCCTTGCACTAGGACCATCTTACTCTTATCACCAGTCACCTCTACTCTACATTCCCCAGAGACTCGTGTCAGGAGTCACACATCATAGGAATAATATTTTGTATAATTTAGCGATGTATCTAATCTATCTAATCCATTATTATATCGTTCTTTCTATTCCTCTATCTACGTATACATCAAGGGAAGAGGAGGAGAGGAGAACAAGAGAGAGAAGAATAAAATAAGGAGAGATTGTGCCAGGGTTCATTATGTGCAGAGATTGTTTTGTTTTTGTTTCTAGACACTGAGAGAGTTATTGTGTCATCTCGCGCCTCTTGTGATTGTTGGAGAGAGAATCTATCCGGGCAAAAGGCTCGTTACAGGGGTCATAGCAGCAAAAGATGTACTGTAGTGAGAATTATATCATGTTTCAATATTATATAACCCCAATACAACGTCTCTTTCCTTACGGGGTTTCCTCCCATCAGTAAGTGAACAAAATATATTCGACGTCTTCTACTGTATATGTAACACGTACTTTATATCGTTCCTGGATACGTAAATAACATCGGCTTTAGTTCACGTTACTCTACGCCACGTGAGATAAAGATTATTATTATTATTATTATTATTATAATTATTATTGTTATTATTATTATTATGAATAGTTCAAGACATATATGAGAATATTAATTGGTTTTAAGTATATTCTGAACCTTTACGACTGCATCCTAAGTTAACCTAAGAGACGACAGACCTAAACTGAATCAGGTGTGTCGGGGAACTGACTTTGGATTTTCAACACCTTACGAACTCACGGTTGA